TGCTCACGTCGCTTCTGCAGGCCGTCGTAGACCTCGCCTGGGTTCAATCGGGCATGCATCTCCGACTCCTGCTTCTCTATCAGCGCGAGGCGGTCCAGCAACTCAGCTTTGTCACGCTGCAAGACCTCCAGTCGTTTCTTCTCCTCGCTCTTCCTCGCGTCCTCGGAGGCCCCTGCCATGGCCCAGTCCTCGCCCTTAGGAGCGGCGGCGGCCTCCCCAGTCGGAGCGGCGGACGTTAGTCCTGGCACAGCTCCGTCTGGGATGTCCCCGGGAGGTTCCCCCGGAACATTCGAACCTTTAGTCTTCGATGCCCCCTTCGCCGACGCCGCCGCTGCGGTATCCACCACGAATACAGGATGGGCCCTCGCAGGGCCACTGGTTGGAGAGAAGTCCGGCTTCTCGCAGCAGCGCGTGTAGAGGTTGAGGCGCACGATGCGGTCGTTCTTCGTGATGAAGTGGATGGTTGCTGGCGGCGTCAAGTAATCCCTAAAGAATCCTGACGCGGATACCAGCTGCAGAAGATCTCATCCATCTCCTCCGGCGTGAACGGCAGCTCCTTATCCTCCCGCCGCTGATCATTATCGTCCTCGCTGGCCTCATCCTCCTCGCTGGCCTCATCCTCCTTCTTCACCTCGGCCTCCTTCACTTCCTTGCTGCTTCTCGCCTTCTTCCTCTCCCTCTTATCTTCTTTGCTGTTCCTCGCCTTCTTCTTCTTCTCTTTCTTCTATTCCTTCTCTTCCTTCTCACCGCGGCCTCCCGGTGCACTCCGCGACCTCGAACGCGATGAGGCCCCCGCCTCGGGCGGGGGAGGGGCGCGATGCTCACGGAGAACAGCTCCCCGATCGCGGTGGCGGTCGTCACGACGATCTCGATGATGATCTTCACGATGCTTGGTGTCACGATTCCCGCCTTCACCGCGCCGATCATCGCGGTGCTTAGTATCACGATTTCCGCCCATCACGATCTTGAACAAATTTGCCGTGATCTCATCGAGATCCACCTCGGCCGCCGTGCAAGGCTTCGACGTGGTCAGCTGCAGCCGCACGAGGCGACCCTGGGCGAAGTCGAGAGCCTCGAAGCGGCCTTGCTTGACGAAGATGGGCTTCTTGTTCGTCACACGCTCCACGATGTGATGGACCGTGGCAAGGTCAGGAAACTCCAGCTCCACGCTGTGCCCCTTTGGGTGGGTGTTGGCCAGGATGCGATGGCAACGCACACATGCATCCTCGTCCTCCTGATCCTCCCCGCGCCTGGCAAGGGCGCGCGCACGTTCATCACTGCCCTGTCCGGGCCCGGGGCCATCGTCGGCGTCCCGGCGTAGACTTGGCGCAGGCATACTCTTGGGTCGAGGATTCATGACGATCCGCCCTGGAGCATCGGCTCGGACCTCCACCGGATGCCTCTGGGCAGGTACCGACTGGGGAGCGCGGCGCCATGGGGCGCGGCCACGACGCTCCTCGGCACTGCCTGCCATGCCAACCCAGTGGATGACCGGCCCATGCACCTGCCTTGGAACCGGCGGCTTCGCAGAGCTCCGCTGGTTGGGCGACGCTGGCTGGCCACTCTTAGGCCCGGTCTTGTTGCACGGCTCACGCTCGCCACTCTTCACCTTGGGGCACTCCGGGTCGCCACGCCAGTGGCCGGGCTGATCACAGTCAGCACGCCGGCTGTTAGCCTTGCGCTGGTCCGTCGGCTTGCGACCAGCCTGGAAGGAGCCGCTGGCGTTGATCTTCTTGGGGTCCCGCTGCCGAGGGGCAACGAACCCACGCTTCTGACGCTGTACTGCCGTCTTCTGCTTGGCCCTCCAGCCGGCCAAGAACGCCTCCTGAAGATCCTCCGGTGCCTCGTACTCCTCGTCGTCAGGCCCATCGTTGTCCGACGCCAGCTCCTCGTCGACCTCAGCGCCGTCCTCGAAGAGGGTGCCCTCGGCCCCTCCGGGGTCTCCGTCGTCCTGGTCGTCTGCTTCCTCTTCGTCGTGCTGCGCCTCCTCCAGGTCGCCGTCGTGTTCATCGTAGTCTTCACCGTTCTCCACCTCGCGCACATGCTGGCCAGAGCGTCCTCGAAGCACGCACGGCCTACGAGCCAAGGGAGGGTGCGGGTAGCGACCGCCCGAACTCCCAGAGGAGCGCCCGTGCTCACGCTGCGCCGCCACAAACGGCGAGCGGCGAGGGAGCACCGAGCGCTTCTCGGTGTCGTGCACCTTCGAGTAGGCTGCCTTCAGCACGACCTCCATCCGCTTCGAGTCGTAGATGCCGCCGCAATTGAAGAGCACCTGCGCTCGCTCTCTTTGCGACAGCCCAGCACCACGGAGCATCTTGCTCGCCAGCGCGCGATCACTGATCGCTGAAGTGGGATCCTCGAGCTGCAACTCCATGCGCTTCTTGCGCAAGTACGTTGTCCAGTCCATGATGGGCTGACCTGCCCGACGGTGAGCACGCTCCCACTCCTGATGCACCTGATCCAGGCGCTCGTGGTCCATCTTCTCGAAGGCGTCATCGTAGATAGCGAAGATGGTCTCGAGCGTGTCCTCACGCCGGAGGTCCGACGCGTCCAGCACCTCGATGAACTCCTTGGCCCGACCTGTCACCTGACTGTAGATGATCAGGCCCAGCTCCACGTCGGAGAGCTGGTTGAGGTTGCGGATGACCTCCACAGCCTTGCGCCACTCTCGGTACTTCTTGGTGCTAGTGCCGACGGCACCGTCGAAGTCCGGGAACTTCACCTGTGACAGCAGTAGGCGTGCACGCCTGGGACCACTGTCGCCACGATCCCGCTGCATGGCCAGGATCTCCCTCTGGGTCTCGGCCATCACGCGCAGGACCGCGTGCAGGTCCGGAGAACCTGCGCCGGCGGAGGGCCCCGCCTCCGCGTCCGAGCCGTCCTGGCTGCCGGCCATGGCGGCGCGCGCGGGTGGTCGCAGCCGCCCGAGCAGAGCACGCAGTGCGTCCGCTGGAGCTTACAAGCTCCGCTACCAATGTCAGTGCAGTTGTTTTAGCTCAGACCGCGCGGCAGTCCAACTGCGGGTGCAGTCCCAGGGCCCTAGGACTAGGGCCAAAACGGCGGCGGGCAGCGTGCACGCCACAAAGATGAAAACCATGTACATCATGCGTGCACGGTGGCACGGGCGGCAGAGGGGCAGGGGAGTGCACTCTTCACAAGTATAGGCTCAGACAAAGTCTTGAGAGGTGAGAGGATTGCCGTACAGCGACAGGCCCCACTCTCCACCCAAGCCCTCTGCCTCAGAGCTTCCACCCACAAGTTTGAAAAGTGTGCTGACAAGTTGAGGTGCGCCACTTGTGCTACTGTTGTAGACGATTGTCTCACCCAGTGCCCAAGCCCTCCCCATGTGCCCGCTCCCGCTCAGAGGCCCTTGTTCCGCCGTGGGGAGGCGGTGGTTGTGGAGGCGGGGGGGGAGAGTCCTCAACGGCCAGTCGGCCCACGCCTCACACGCGTTTGCTGAGATCCCCCGTTGGAGGGTCATTTTGTGCACGTCGTGTGGGGCGAATGCTACGCTTCGTTTTGTTAATTTGTTGCAGCCCTGCCCGCCTGAGCCAACGCCTAAAGGGCGGGAGGTTTTGTCCCGTGTGCACAAGAGCCTGCATCCTTCGCACAAGGGCCCAGCGAAGGCCATTCTCGAGGCGCAGCACCTCGATGTTGCGGACGTGGCTCGAGCTAAGGCGGTGTCCAGGAGCCACGAAGTCCATGATGCAGTTGCCGTGATTCCCCTAGGGGCCCCTGGACCCCAACCTGAGGGAGATAGAGGGGCCTCGGGAGGCTTTGTTGTGAGAGCCCCGTTGGTCGAAGGTCCTCACTGTGCTCAGGAGGAGTTTGAAGGGGTGTCTGGTGGAGTGGTCGGTGGTGGGGGTGGGCCCTTGTCGCCGCCGTCGGTGTCGAGCGTGCCGCGCGCGCTGCCCGCGCGTCGGCGCGCGCCGCACCCGACGAGTTCGGCGACCACCCCCAAGACTGCCCTGAGAGAGCCCCCGCCGCCGCCCTCCTCCTCCTCCTCCTCCTCCTCCGACTAATCTTCCCTGTGCGACTCCCCGTCCTCCTCCTCCTCTTTCCCGCGTCCTCCTCCTCCTCCTCCTCCTCCTCCTCTTCCTCTTCTTTTTCCTCCTCCTCCTCCCTCCTGGGCTTAAGACAAAATTTGCTAGGCGCCAGGCGGTGAACGCCAGGGTTCAAAACCCATTTCTTGGCGGCTGATCCTCGAGGTACAGCCACCTGGGGACCTTCCACCCAACAGGAGGCGCAATGTCTTAGAATCCTCCTCCTTCCCCGCCTCCCTCCTCGTCCTCCCTCCCTCCCTCCCTCCCCAAAAATGCCCAGGGGCACTCGAAGGGGTCCCCATCCCCGTCACCAAGGGGGACCCCGGGCGTCGGGGTTACGGTCCCGGGTCCCTAGCCACAAAAAACGCCACCTACGGGACACAGCTCTTGATGAACTGGTCTGAGCGTAAGTTCTAATAACTCACTGAACTACGCAAGAAGAAATGCAGAGGAGGAAAGGGAGAGGCGAGGAAGAAGGCGGAGGCGAAGCGCAAGGCGCGTGCGGCAGCAAGGGCGGCCCGCCAGGGGCAGGCAGAGGAAAGGAGAGGGGCGGCCAGGGGCGGGGGCGGTGAGGTCGGTGGTGACAGTGGCACCGTCGTGCTGGCTGTGGTCGTGGTCGTAGTGCTGGTCGGCGGTGGTCGCGGTGGTGAACGTGCCGGCGCTGGTCGTGGTCGTAGCGTCGGTGGTCGTCGTGTTCAGGGCAGAGCCGTCGTCGTGGTGTTGGTGGTGGCGGCAGTGGTTGTCATGCTGGTGGCTCCGCCTCCTCCTCCTCCTCCTCCTCCTCCTCCTCCTCCTCCTCCTCCTCCTCCTCCTCCTCCTCCTCATCCTCTCCTCCTCCTCCTCCTCCTCCTCCTCCTCCTCCTCCTCATCCTTCCCACCCTCCCCCTCCTCCTCCCCGCCCCCTCCCCTCCTCCTGCGCGCCGCCACCGCGCGCAGCTGGGCGCCCCCCTGGGCCGCCTGCTCCTCAGCACGCGCAGGTGCAACGGCTCGGCCTCCTCGGGCCTGCCGGCCGCCTCGAGCGCCCTCGCCAGGGCCTCGGCGGGCCCCAAAGGGGGTGCAGATAGGACGAGGATGACGTCGTGATGCTTCTTTGGGAGGAGGAGGAGGAGGAGGAGGAGGAGGAGGAGGAGGAGGAGGAGGAAGCTATGCTGCTTTGTTACGAAGAGGAAGAAGCACGACCACAGAGCTCCGCCGATCAGGATGTCACGATGTGGTTGGCTCAGGACGCGCTGTTTTTTTCCTCGGCCCCTCATGCTCTCTCTCTCTCTCTCTCTCTTTCTTTCTTTCGTGTTGTTCTCTCTCTCTCTCTCTATATATATATGTGTGTATATCGCTCTTCCACCAAGACGGTCCAGGAGGCGCCCGAAACGGCCCAAGAGCGCTCCTGGACGCCCAAGATGGCCTGAAGACGGCCCAACAGGCCTCCAAGACGCCTCAAGGAGATCCCAAGAGGGCCCCCAAGAGGGCTCCAAGAGGGTACAATAATAAAGTTGCGAATAGGTTTTGAAGCATTTTAACATTATCGCCTTTTCCGGGTTAGAAGCGCCGAAGACGGTCCAAGAGGCCCCCAAGATCGCCCCAAGGCAGCCCAAGAGGCCCCTAAGAGGAGCCAAGACGGTCCAAGAGGGCCCCAATATAGTCCTGGAGGCCCCCCAAGACGACCCCGAGAGGCCCCCAAGATGGCCTCAAGAGGGTGAATCCGAACGGACCCTTCTAGTCCTCCACCCCAAGATGACCCCAAGAGCCCCCAAGATGCCCCCGAGGCGCCCCCAAGGGGCCCCCAGAGACCCCAAGAGGTCCCCAAAAGGCCCCCAAGAGGACCCCGAGAGGCCCCCAAGAGGCCCCGAAGGCCCCCAAGAAGCACCAAGAACCAAGAGGCGCTCACACGCGTGCTGCCAGGCCATAGGTGTACGGCCTGACTTGGTATTGCTCGGAAGCGAAAGCGATGAACGAAGAACCTTCCACCCGTCGCCGTCACCAGTCGTCGGTCGTCGGCAGCCGTCGGCAGCCGTTCTCCGTCCGTCGTCGTCGTCGTCGTCGTCGTCGTCGTCGTCGTCGTCGTCGTCGTCGTCGTCGTCGTCGTCGTCGTCATTAACTCCTTCGTCGGTCGTCGTCGTAATTATCCCGCTCGTCGGCCGTTGGTCGTCCGTTGTCGTCGTCATCGTCCATTTCAACAACAATAGCATCAGGAGCGCCCCGGATCGGCGGCACTGGCCGGAGGCCACTACTATATATGTATATATATATATATATGTATATATATATATATATATACATGTCGCTCTTTCTTTCCCCGCTTCACCCCCCTCCCCCCTCCTATCCTGCTTCTGCTCCTGCTCCTGCTCCTGCTCCTGCTCCTACTCCTGCTCCTGCTCCTCCTCCTCCTCCTCCTCCTCCTCCTCCTGCTCCTGCTCCTCCTCCTCCTCCTCCTCCTCCTCCTCCTCCTCCTCCTAACGAACAGGGTCGGCGGCACCGGCCGTAAGGCCTTCGCAATATAATAATGTCAGAGTGCGATTGGCTCAGGAAGCGTTGCGGAAATTCAGGAGCCCAGTGTCTAGGGGTCCTCGTTTCTGGAGCCCGCGCTGAACAATAGGAAGTCTTGACAAACTGGGAAGCCTGGGATCTGATGGGAATTATCATTATCATGATTTCTTGCTCCTCTGAGCAGAGGAGAGAAAAGTTCTCCACGAACTCCTTGGCGTCCACGAGTCCTCAGAGCCCCCTCGGCGTGGTCGTCGCCGCTGCCTTCGTTTCTGGGCGGTTCTGGACGCCTCTGGAGACTCGTGTCGCCGCGGCTGGGCGCGGCCCAGAAAACCGGCCAGGATGGACCCCGCCCGGGAAGGGTGGGGAGAAGGGGAGGCCTGCTGAGAAGGCAGCGGGCTCCTCAGAGGGAATCAAAAGCTTCAGAGAGGACTCCTCAGAGGGCGGAGGGGCCTGCTCAGAAGCCCATCGACTTCTTCGAAAGCACCTCCTCCCGCCGATCCCCGCAGGCGCGGGATGTTGCCCTGAACATGCGGAGGCCGCGAGCACGAATCAAGACGGGCACTTCCCTTGGCCTGTTCTCGGGCCACGGGGAAGCCCACGGATCGATGCAAGAAGGAGAAGCCGATGCCCGAAACTCCCCCCGCTGGCTCTGACGGGAGACCCTGAGATCGAGGGGGGTCTCAGGACGGGCGTTCCTGTGTGGCCCCGCCGTCAGGCCGCCAGACCCCTGCGCCTCGATCCGGCTCGGGAGGCCCCGCACAGAGACGGGGCCGAAGGCTCCGGCCACGACCCTTGGCGACGTCGTCTCGCGCGTGCCGACCGCCTGCCAGCGACGCGCAGAGGGCGGCCCGCGAGGCAAGAGGCGGCCTCTGCTCCGCGGCCTGCCGACCGCTGCGCGCGGTGCGACCGCAGCGGCAAGCGCGCGTGGGCTCGGCCACGTCGGCGAGAGCATCCGGCCCGAGCAGGGAGCCCAAGCGCACAGGCCGCTGCCATCGCATCGCACCCAGCCGCCTGGAGGCCCTGGCGTGCCGCCCGCTCCAAGGGCCACTTCGGCGAAAGGTCACTCTTGCGCGTAGCCGAGCTTGCCAGGGCTCCAACGCCGCCGCTTTCTCTCCCGCCCCCCAGAGGCAGGGAAGGGAGGAGTGCAGCAACCCCTGCCGCAAACGGCACTCGCGCCCCCAAGCCGAACCTCACCGAGCCTTCCCGGCCAGTGTACCGGTGGCCACGGGAGGTGTAGCCACCCGCCTGCGGTGGGGGTATTGGAGCAGGAACGCTTAGATAAGGAATCCAGGGGCTGGAAGCTCGTGGAACTTCAATCGTCGACCGACCTTGGATATCACCGCTGCCCTCATCGGATAAGGAATCCCCTCCAGGGTCTGCGGCCTCCTGGGCATGTTCCTGAACGAACGCCCCCACCGTACCAGGAGGAACGCTGAATAAGGAACGAAGGCGCCTCTCTGGCCACGGCGAACCTCGACTTCGAATAGGTTCCCCGACCCAGACTTAAGGACCAGCCCGACAACCAGAGCGCCTCGTGAGCCCGAGGTGGTCCTTATTTCACCGTCTTGGCTATATCTATCAGACGAGCGGGGTGGAATCGGCTACAAGCAGGAGTGACCCTACGGCAAGAGTGACCTTGGGTGCGCGGCTGTGGGGGGCCGCGGGGCAGGCCAAATCCAAGAAATCCAAGCGCGCCGGCCAAGGCTGGTGGGACCCATGTGCACCCGAAGCGTAGGTCACTCCGGCGACAGCTTAACCGCATCCGGCAATTAAGAACTGCCCCCCCTCTCCGGCTAAGATATAACGCACCCGGCACCCCAGAAGCGTTACCCTGGCACCTCGCACCTTTATGTGAACGCAGACGAGTCTGCTCGCCGAAACAAGCAAGCCGCCTGAGACATTCTCGCAATATCTTGGTTCTCATGCGCCATTACAGATCAAGCCGAGGGCCAAGGCCTCAGTCAAGAGGCCTTGGCCCAGCTAGCTAGAAAAATCCTCCTCCTGCTCCTCCTCAAGACTCCCTTACGGCACAGCACCAACACGAACAACGACAATAATACCAACAATAAGAGTTATATATTTAACAACAAGGCCAATAACAACAACACCGACAACAATGTCAACATCAAAAACACCAACAACACCGCCAACACCAACAATAACAACATTAAGTCCCACGCAAGGGAGAGCCCAACTTTGAAAAAGAACCGTCCGTGCCTACGATGGGGGGCGAATGATTTTGGCGGTGCGGGTGCTAAGATAACGCGCCGTGCGTGGCGGGGGCGATATCCTCGGATGCACTACCACACACGACGGCCGGGAAACAAACAATTCTCCAATAGGGGTGGAAATAAGAATCGTATATGACAAGGATGATGAGGAAAATGCGGAAACGCTCATATTATTATTCGTATTTATATCTGCCGTATTATAAGTCTTATTCTTAGTGTTAGTATCAATATTATTCTTATTACGATCATTACTATTATTATTGTTCGTATTCTTATTCAAATTGAGATTATTAGTCATACTCTCATTGCGATTATAATTCTTAGTCTCATTAATATTATTAGTACTCTTACTGTCATCCTTCTTCTTCTTCTTATCATTTTTCGTATTCTTATTATTCTTAATATTATTAGTCTTATCCTTAGTTGTCTTATTATCATTATTCTGATTATTGGTCTTGTTCTACTTCTTGTCTGCTTGGACAAGCTGTCGTAATGGTTGTGTGCGGGTGCGGTGAAGATAACGCGCCGTGCGCGGCGGGGGCGATATCCTCGGATACACTACCCCACACGACGGCCGGGAACAAACAATTGTTCAACAGGGGTGGTAATATAAATCGTATAGGACAAGGATGATGAAGATAATGAGAAAAACTATGATTATTATTCGCATTCTTACTCTTAAACTTAATATAGGTATGATTAGTATCCTTGTACTTAGTGCTATTATCGTTATAGCAGTATCCGTGCTATTACTCTGATTATGAGTATTATTAATAATAGCATGTATATGGTTAGTATTATGTTTAGCATTGTTACCCTTACTCTTATCATTGTTATTATTTGTATCACTCTTACTCTTATCATTATTCTTGTTATGATCATTACTATCATTATGCTTATTACTCGTAGTTCACTCTTATTCTTATCCTTATTCCAATTCTAATTGGGGTACCACCCGAGCCAGGGCGCGGGAATTATTTATTTTCGTTCCATCTGCGCGGTGCTAACTCTATCGTTCGGCGAAAACCGCCCCCCATAAGTATTTAACTACGGCGCGATGCTAATGATAACCCCGGGGGGCACTCTTACGCGCAACCGACGCACGCCTTGCTTGCACTGGGGCGAACGCCAACTTGGCGCCTTCACCGGCGCCGTGGCCATCGACCGAACTGGCCAACACGCGCGCGGCATGGGGCACATCTGCGCGGCGGGCGAATCCCCGACGCTGTCGACGGCTCGGGCCAGCGAGCGCGGGCGCACGAGACGGGGCCCCAGTCGTCGATGTCGTCGTCGTCGTCGTCGTCGCCAGCATCATCATA